TGTAATTGAACATGTGCCCTAAAGTCTACGAACTATCTAATGCACCCGACCTATCGACTCCAATAATGACAGAACTTTCCGACTTATATCTCCCATTCCTAAAACAGTTCAGTGGTTAGACAAACATCAAATGTATTAAAAATCAAGCATTTTGATAGCTGTCGGATAATGTACACGAACATGGTTAGTTACATGCTGACAATGATCCTTCGTCATATGAGACTTGGCATCACCAGCAGTGCTTTCCAAACATGCCATCCTCCAGTCCGACAATGGTTGACACGATTACCACCATAATGAGATCAAATAAATTTGACAGATTCCTCATTCAGATTGTTTAGATGGAAAAAACAAAATGTGGATTCCTTATCTGAATGAACAGTGTGCCCTTTTTAGTCATGCTTTACGAATATCCAGTGATACGATCTAATAACTAACTGTTTCAGATAGCAGTGCATGGTCACGACTAGCAGGTCAATTCACAGACTTCCTGAATCGTCTGTGTATCTGGTGCGGAACACCGACCGCTGTTTCGACCTTTCGCTGTTCGTTAAAAACATCTCACAGTTATTACTCACTGCAAAATTGAGTAAACGAAAGATGACAAACAGATTTGGTTTGACTGAACGCATCAAGTTTCAGTTTTCAGTAATCTTGCGAACAAGTCAACCGTCTCAATCCGCTAAAATAAAAACCGCCAGGTATCTGTGAAAAACGCACTATTTTCTGGTTCAGAGCGGAATGAAATAAGCCGGAAGACACCAGTGACTACAGGGAAGTTTAGTAATAATGTGAAATGTCTACACCACCGCCCAGCTCAGTTCAGAGTAGAAAAAATGTCACTGCTCTCCAACTTTATGATAGGTAGCTCATTTACACAATCTTTAGTGGTAACACTTGCGGGAAATATACTGCAAAGTGGCATCCGTGGGGCCATTGAATCTTTTCTCTTATTCGACATTCAGTATTAGGACAACCGTGGTTATATTTTACCGGCCTCTAATTAATCCATCGAGCACCCTGTACAGAGTTATCATCGCTTGTGGGATCATGAATCACTGTAACTCATTCACATCAATCACCACCTGTCTCATTCACTAAACTATAAATGATCGCACAGATGTGAAAACCACCTATGCGATGAAGCTGAGTTGCGAAGGGAGAAGCCGCAGGTAACAGATTTTTGCAATTGGCATTGCGAATTGAATGTATTAATCAAGAAATGAAAGAGAAAGATATGATTTCTGTTATCTAGTGAATAGGTTCGAATTTGATTTTGCTATCCAGGTGAAATACTGTTTCTTCTTTCACCATAGTTACCACTGATAAGTATCTTGTGAAGTGTGC